AGCGGTTTGGCGCCTGCCTTTGGCCCAGGGCACGATCCTGGGGACCCGGGATCGAATCCCACATCAGGCTCCTGGTGCATGGAGCCTGCTTCTCCCTCTGCCTGTGTCTCTGCCTCTCTCTCTCTCTCTCTCTCTCTCTCTCTGTAACTATCATAAATAAAAAAATTTAAAAAAAACTTAAAAAAAAAGAATAGTTAGGGAGAAATCAATCCATTTTAGGTAGAAAAAAATCTTATTTTATTAAATATGTAATATTACAAGTGCTAACCCTTTTGAATACATGATCTTGTTAATTCTCAGAACTAAGAATTCTGAGGTAGATGTATTCCCATAAATCTACAGTTGAGCAGAAACATACAACTACTGAGTGCTATGTCAGGACTGGCCCTGAAACAAACACAGATTCCTTTATGTTAAATTGAACAGGATGATATAAGTATATTTTTTGTTTTTTCTTAAAGATTTTACTTATTTATTCTTGAGACACAGAGAGAGAGGCAGAGACATAGGCAGAGGGAGAAGCAGGATCCCTGCGGGTAACCTGATGTGGGACCTGATCCCAGGACCCTGGGTCATGACCTGAGCCAAAAGCAGACAGTCAACCACTGAGCCACCCAGGTGTCCCTAAATATATATTTTATTATACCTAGAACCATGTTGATTTGAGTGTAGGTGCCCCATGCATAGATATTTTTTAGTTGCTATGAGTCAAGAGAAATTATTCCTGCCCTATGTCATTACAACATCCTGTAATTCTTATGAATTGTACTTACACATTCAATCTATAATTTATGAAATATTGTACTTTATCACTTATCACACTGCCAGATCTTTCTATCCCACTTCCTGTGAGATATTGGCAACATAAGAGCATAGTTTAACATTACCGAGTTAATGATTACCTTCCAGCAAACTAGTTTCTCTGAGTAATCAGTTGAGGAGCTGTCATTCATGATTTTATATGAACATTTTCGAAGTAATTTTTGTTTTCAACACATTGATTTTGAGGTTAACATTACACATTTTCATAAACTTATTTATATTAATAATACTTTGTTGGGGCGCCTGGCTGCCTCAGTCAGTGGAGCATGCTACTCTTGATCTCAGGGCTGTGAGTCTGAGCCCTGTGTTGGGTATAGAGATTACTAAAATAAATAAAATCTTTTTTTTTAATAAATAAAATCTTTAAAAAAATTGGTTTCCCTTCCTCCCCAAATCTCATCCCTTTTGGAATGGATGGATAGATATATGGATGTAATTTTATACAAATGGAAGAAAACTTTTTCTGTGCAGTCCTCATTGTCCTTTATTGTAACTCTTTGCATTTGACCTTTAGGGACAGAACAACGTATTAGGACACAGTGTATAATGACATATTTGAAACTTCAATGCCCATCAATCAATCCCTTACGGATCATTTGGGTTATTTTCTATTAAACTGTTTCTTTAAATTTGCTCAGAGTTCATCTGTTCCTTTTTTTTTCCAGATTAAGGGAGGAGGTGAATCTCACACAAATTTAAGAGATCATCCTGAATTCAATCCTCATGGATTATCATCTAAATTTAACAATATACTCCATAAAGCTACACATATGGTAGGTAAATCCGCAAAAGAAAGGAAAAGGGAGAGAAAAAAAAATTAGCAGAGATAGAGAAAAGGACCCCCTGGTTTAGTCAAGAAAAAACCAGAACCTTCCTGAAAGTGATTGGACAAATTGAAATTTAAAACACACACACACACACACACACACACACAGACACACAAAAACACCTTCATCAGCTATTTAAAAAAAAAAAATGAAGGTTTGAGGTGAAATAAAGCTCAATTTGTCAACAGGAAGCTATGGGCTCTGCACCTCTATTTATATAAATAGCATTTGCTTTTTCCATCTTTGGTTCTGCCCAGAAGTTGTTGTCTGACCGCTGCTTCTGGCTCTGCTTGACTGGTTTTTAGAAAAAAAGAAAAGAAAAAGAAACTGTGGCCACATGTTCCTTTCTCTACCACACACAACCTCTACAAGTCACTTTCCCTGAAGTTTGGTTAGTGAAAATGCTAAATGATACAGGATTTCAATGTTTATTGGAATGTTGTATTTTTAACCAAATCTGCCTCCCCGCGTTGACAAAATTGTAAGGACAGTCCTGACTTCTTTCTGCTGTGCTCTTGAGGTCTTTCCATTCTACCCTGTAAAGTTCCAGGTCTCTCGGGACCTCTTTGCCACACTTTCCAAATTCCCTTTTCCCATCAAGTCTGTGAATTGCCGTCTTCCAACATTCTGGTCCCCTGCCTTGATGCCAACCTGTCATTCTCTCCCATCTGCTAACTCCCCTTGTCTGGGGTCTGGGAGTTTCTTCTCAGATTTCTTTCTTCACTGGGTTACAGCTGCTTCGGTACTGAAGGCAGGGTAACCCAAGAGGCTGCACGTAAGTTGTTTGCACCTCTGACCTGTGTAACACATTTGGTTTGACACAAACACCCTGAGGCAGAGGAGGGAGGGGCTTGCGGCTAGCAACATCCACTGATTGATGTCATCAAAAGTAAGGCCCAAAAGTGGGGAGACCAGCTGGGGTTTGCACCATCTGCCTGTGAGTCAAAAGAATACTTAAGAGAAAGTGTGCACCGAACTATATTTAGAGTATAGTGCACACGTGAATTTCCCATTCAAGGAGAATTTTCCTAAGCATGAAGTGTGGAAAACATTAGGCTCAGAGCAGGAGCAGTTCAATTGTGGAGGAGGAAACAAGAGATAACCTCACAGGTGGGCAGATGAAGGTGCCATCTTTCAAAATACCAGGGGGACGCCTGGGTGGCTCAGAGTTTGAGCGTCTGTCTTTGGCTCAAGGTATGATCTCGGGGTTCCAGGATCAAGTCCTGAATCGGGCTCCCTGTGAGGAGCCTGCTTCTCCCTCTGCCTATGTCTCTGCCTTTCACTCTATCTTTTCATGAATAAATAAGTAAAATCTTTGAAAAAGAAAGTACCAGGAAGACATTCAATCTCAAAAAGATACTCTCCTAAAGATACTTTCACCAAATCCTTTAATTCCAAGGCTAAAAATGCACTGATATGTTTCCAAATATTTTTCATCAAAATATAAATGCCTTGGGACACCTGAGTGGCTCAATGGTTGGTTGAGCATCTGCCTTCGTCTCAGGGCATGATCCTGGGATTCAGGATCAAGTCCCACATTGGGCTCCCTGCATGGAGCCTGCTTCTCCCTCTGCCTGTGTCGCTGCCTCTCTCTCTGTGTCTCTCATGAATAAATAAAATCTCTATATATATAGATATTTATTAATAAATTCCTTGCTGAAGAGCGATATCAGTTGTGCTCACCAGGAAAGGGATAGTATTAATGCCTAAAAGAGTAAAAAATTTTCAAAGCTTTTCATGGGAGGAACAAGGAATGAAAACTAGAACATCAGAAATGGGGCAAAGATGAAAAACAAGGAGGTAAATGAAATTCTGCCAGTGGACAAGAGAACAGAGGGAAAGAACAGGACCTTGGCTTCTGGCTGGCCCAGTTGGTTGAGCGATTGACTCTTGGTTTCAGCTCAGGTTGTGAATTGGAACCCCGCTGTTGCCCCCCACCCCTGTGAGGTCCCCTATTCTGCTCTATACCGGGGGGGGGGGGGGGAGTCCACTTACGGTTCTCTCCTTCTCCTCCTCCCTCTGCATTCTCTCTCCTTCTCTTAAAAAACAAAAACAAAACAAAAAACAAAAACAAACAAACAAAAAAAAAACCAGGACCAGGCACCTGGGTGGCTCAGTGGTTGAGCAACTGCCTTTGGCTCAGGTCGTGATCCCAGGGTCCTGGGTTTGAGTCTCGCATTGGGTTGCCTGTGGGGAGCCTGCTTCTGCCTCTGCCTATGTCTCTGCCTCTCTCTGTGTGTCTCTTATGAATAAATAAAATCTTTAAAAAAAAAACAGGACCAATACAATATCCTGAAACTAATCTGGGACTGTCTTTATGAGAAAGTTGTGGCAGAAAATAAGAATCTCTAAGCATAAGGAAAGAAAGAATGGGCAGCAAGTTAGAAATGTTGGTTTACATACCAAGAGTTAAAAAGGTAGAAAATATAAGAACAAGGAGAACTAGGAAAACACTGAAATATGATCATGCAGAAGAGAAGTGAGAATAAAGCATGAAGCTTTACCTAGGAAGACTGTTGGGACTGAAGGGGGCAAAAAGAAAAATAATTCTCTGAATTGAATTTTCTGGAGGAGAGTAGATTTGATGTGTTGGAGAACCAATGGCAAAGGTGTGGAGTGAGGAAGGATATAATAGAGAATAGTGGAATAGAGCACTACTGGTGCTCTATTTGCAAAGTGGGATAAAACTGTAAATTAAGGTGGGGGTGCACCTGGGGGGCACAGTTGGTTAAGTCTCTGACTCTTGGTTTTGGCTAAGGTCACGATCTCAGAGTTGTGAGATTGAGCCCCAAGTCAGGCTCCACAGTCAGTACAGAATCATCTTGAGATATTCTCTCCTTCTGCTCCTCCCTACTACATGTGCTCACTCTCCCTAGAATAAATCCTTTAAAAAAAAATGCATATGGACACCTGGGTGGCTTAGTCATTGAGTGTTAGACTCTTGATTTCACTCAGGCCATGATCTCAGGGTCATGGGATCAGGCTCTGCGCTTAGGATGGAGTCTACTTGTCCCTCTCCCTCTGGACCCACTACCCACTCATATACTCTCTCCTCAAATAATATCTTTTTTTTAAAGATGTTATTTATTTATTCATGAGACACACACACAGAGACACGGGCAGAGAGAGAAGCAGGCTCCACGCAGGGAGCCCGATGCAGGACTCAATCCCAGGACTCCAGGATCACACCCTGAGCCAAAGGCAGATGCTTAGCCACTGAGCTACCCAGCTGTCTCTCAAATAATATCTTTAAAAAATTTTTTTAAAAAAATTCTTTAAATGAAAAAAGCATAAATTTTGATCTTTCTAGACATATAAGAGAACAAAGAAACAGATCAAAGACCACTCTCCTGAAAAGGAATGAAGAAAAATTTATTTTAAAACATTTAATTTGAAGTATACACAATACTGGGAATTGAAGTGCTTTGTGGTGGGAATGCCACTTCATTCAATATACGGTAGGAGGGTCATGTTCATGGTGAGATTCTTAAATGATTCTTGGAAATTCTGTGCCTATGAGATTTCTTTACAGTGGGTATAATATTCACTTAATAGATAGATCTATACAGAAATACTTTTAGAGGATGTGGAGCAGAGCTTACATACTTTGGGTCTTTTCCTAGCATTTCTCTTTAATCAGTTGTACAAATCCCATTAAACTAAATTGTTTCTTAATAGCAAGAGTCTGATGCACATTAATATAGTTGAATTCTTTCAACCCTACCAAGTAGAGTGGAATTTTTTTTTTGTAACTTGCCTCGAATTCCCTGACTTCCTAATTAAATTCCACAGGCTTTTTTGGAATGTTACTAAGTTATTCAGATAGAAGGATCTGTGTAGTATGTAACTGGTCACTTATAACGGGAATTTTGTCTATTATGTTGTAGACTGCTGTCTTCATAGAGGATATTTCTCCCGTTATAAAGCAGATGAGGTGGTTGTGAATTAGACTGCCTCTAGGCTTCAGGAAATATGAATGATGCATTTAAACCTTGAGAATCACAGAATGGAAAGAAACTGTAGAACCAACATAAAATTAACTTTGTTGTGTAAAGATGGGAAATTAAACCTAGTTTACTTGTTTCTTGGTTTACCCGATTATTGCTAGAGCCAGGATAAGAATGTAGTTGTCTGAATATTGTCTTTCTTTAACACTTTTTTTATAAACTATTAGGTAAATTTGGTCTGCCTGTTTAAGCCCCAAATCAGGCTCTTCCAGGCTTGTCAGTGTGGTTCCAAGAGAAAACCAGCAGGGGCATTAGTTTCAGGCGAGGCAGCTCCCAGATTTAGAGATTAATTTTTTTACCCCCTAAGGAGTATTCACTCAAAGACATGGAATGGGAGCTGTCAGTACCAGCTGTGCTTGAGTTTCTGACCGAAAATGATGAAGAATGGACTTAATTATGCTAACAGATTGAAAATCTAGACATACACTCTCCAATACACAGAGATATTTTCTATATAGATCATGAGCGTTACATGTGTACAAAAAAGTTAACATTAGGCTGTGGTAAAGTAACCGTTTAATGCTGAGGCTGTATTTGGGAAATACACTACAAAAGTTAATATCCGTGGCTGTCATCTCATGACACCAGTAGAGCAAAAATTAATCACGTCTAATTAATTCTGTTACACAGTGTGATCTTTTTTTTAATACTAACCATTTCTTATGGAAAGCAAGTCCTCTTGGATGATCCTCTCGCCAGCCCATCACAGGCTCTACATATACATGTACCCAGTGTGGACTGAGAAGCATTACTTTGTAGATGTATTTTCAATAACGAAAAGAAATCAGTTTTACATTTAAAAAAAAAAAAATCAGGCTCTTCCAGAGCCCATTTGCATGGTGATCTCTACAGATCCAGGTTATTGATGAGGATGAAAGAAGTAGCAACAAATCAAGGAACCTCAGACCAATGCTATGATTTCACATTAAATTGTCTAACTTGTGAGGGTGGGCCAACCTCCATATGACCAAAAGTGAGTAGGTAAATGGGACTTTGCACCTCTACTTGTTGTACAACTGCATGAAAAAGTGAATAGGAGACCACTAGTCCAAGTTCCATAATTGGTCTACTCTTCTCCTTTATCCTTGGCCTCCGAACCTAGCAGATGTCATCTTGGGTCTTTATATATTGCCAGTAGGATTGTATAACTTGGTTCCAGAGAATTCTCTAAGACTACAGAAATTACCATGACTCTTCTCAAAGAAGACCTGCCAGGCAAATCCCAGGAAAATAGTTAAAATAAGAGTAATGAGGACTATGTAAATGAGTGGGGAGTTAATCTAGGAAACTCTTCTTAAATAAATGGAGTTCTATGACTAGTTAAATAGACAGCAATAGGTTCTTCCACCCTAAGATCTATTTCAGACAGATTCAATAGTAAATATTAACCTAAAGTTTATTTTTCTTTGAAATTCTATGTAGAATGTTTGTATATAAGCCACATGGTTATCATTAATCTACTATGTCTATGATATTGAGAAGCGGTGAAACCATGCAATAATATAGACCTTATGTTATCAGTCTGGGTGAAAAATCAGGGAGTGGGGGCAAAAGCTAGGTACTGCAAAGGGATTGGTTTAAGAAATACTAATGTCTATGGGTTAGCTGACAATGGTTGGACAAGGAGTTCCTTCTTGTTAGAGCGTTTTCTTCCTCCCTCCCACACATTCTTCTTTCTGCTTGACGATCACAGACCACTGGGTCTCTGCAAATTCACACTTTCACAGGGAGGAAGTCGGAAGTAGTTGGAGCGACGGAGTCGCCTTGGGGGTAAACCAGCCATCTGACGGCAAAGTTCGTCTAGAAGAGAGACAGAGCATAATGGAATGGGAATGCAAAAAGATAAGGGGTCCTCTTTTATGAGAAAGAGAAGACCATAGGGTGCTGTAGTGAAAGATCAAAGAGAAATAGATCTGAGCTAGAACCCCAGATCTGCAGCTTCCTGGTTATTTATTACTTACTAGAAAGTTTAACTTTTCTCAACCTCACTATCCCTTCCAAGTATAGGCATGCAATACCTGCCTCGATGGTGTACTTGTGGATATTAAATTCAAATAATGTATGCAAAGTACCTAGCACAGGTGGCCAGTCAATTTTAGGTTCCTCTGTATACCTCGCTCCCAATTCTTACAATCATGGATTTATTAAATCTCAAAAAAAATGAAATTCAATTATTCCTTGTATATTTAAGTGTTTACTGTGCAAATAGCTAACTTTAGCAAGTCCCCTGAGACACTTGAAAGTGCCTAGAGTCCCAAATACTCATCTTCAATCTCAAGGTGCTTCCCTTGCAGGTGGCTTGTGCAAGGTTGATGGGGGCAAGCAGCAAGTTTCCTTCTGCGAAGTTAACTACAGCTCTTACTCAGGAGCTCAGTGCAAGATAGGCTGCTGAGTCAGAAGGGGCTGTGTCTGTGGTGCCTTCACCAACCGCACTTATCGTTTGGGGCTGGCCGTGGGGAAGGTGAGAAGTATCTTTGTTTCCACAATGCACGGTTTATAACCACATGGTTTGTACCCTTGTAATCGTTCTTATAAAGTTTTTCTACCCTCTTTTACTTCTAAAATTTCACAATAAGTCATGTAAATGGTTCCTGGAATTGGTAGACTGTTTAAAATGTTGCCAGCTTCTAAAAGTCCAGTCTTTCTTTTTAAAGATTTTATTTATTTATTCATGAGAGACACACAGAGAGAGGCAAAGACATAGGCAGAGAGAGAAGCAGGCTCCCTGCAGGGAGCCTCATGTGGGACTTGATCCCAGGATCCCTGAGCTAAAGGCAGACAGACGCTCAAGCACTGAGCCACGCAGGTGCCCCAGGCTGGGGTTTATTTGTTTGTTTTACTTATAGGACCTATCTCATCAATATCCGAATTAGTGGAGTTATTATTACTATTTTTTAAGTAATCTCTATACCCAACCTGTGGCTTAAATTTATAACCCCAAGATCAAGGGCTACATGCTCCCCAGACTGAGCTAGCCAGGTGCCCCTGACTTGGCTTTTCACCTAGAGCCTCAGTGAATGATCTTCAAAGCAGCAAGAGCTTCAGAAAGCTCTATGTATAGGACAGGTCGGGGATTGCAATCAAGCTGGAAAGATATCCAACTGTACTTTTCTTAGGGTTGTGTTAAGCATACTTCTTTACTTAGATTGCTCATTTAAGAGCATCTGGGTGGCTCAGTGATTGAGCATCTGCCTTTGGTTCAGGTCACGATCCCTGGGTACTGGGATCAAGTCCCATATCAGGCACCCTGTAGGGAGCCTGCTTTTCCCTCAGCCTATGTCTCTGCCTCTCTCTGTGTCTCTCATGAATAAATAAAATATTTTTTAAAAATGGTTATTTAGCAGGGCACCTGGGTGGCTCAGTCAGTTGAGCATCTGCCTTCAGCTCAGGTCATGATCTCAGGGTCCTGGGATCAAGCCCTGCATCCCATCAGGCTCTCTGCTCAGCGGGGAGCCTGCTTCTCTCTCTCCTCTCTGTTATTCCCCACACTTATGCTCTCCCTGTCTCTCAAATAAAATCTTAAAAAAAAAAAAAATTGGTCATTTAGCATAACTTGGTGGAGCAGGGACTGATGAGGCCTAAAGCCCTCCTTGGAAGCCAGACCTTGGGTCCCTCACGATCATGTCTATTCACCTCTCTCATAACTGCCCCTCCCCACTAAAACCCAGACATCATCTTACCTTTCATAACTTCGTGTTCTTTACAGACAAGACGGGAGCAGATCTCATTGTTGATGATATACATACGTCGTAAACTGCCATCGTCCCAGTAACATGGTTAAGGAAGGAGATAGAAAAAAGCATTGATGGAGAACTAGCCTAGGCTGAGCGTGCCTCCTCAACTTCCGTATTCTCCACTTTCCCCTATCTGTTCTCCTCTTCTGGATTTCCTTAATTATTTTGGATTGCTTTTTTTTCTCTCCCAGAGGAGTAAAGGGGATAGACTGGAATTAATCCTTCTTCTTAGTGAAACTTACCCACTCCACCTAGAGTCAAGTTTAATGCTCCTTGCTAGTTTTTACCTTTAGAGTTGGATCTTTTACTTTGGCCTTTTTCAGTGAGGTAATAGATTCACTGTACCAGTATTTCTCTCATGACTGTCTTTTTCTCAGCCCTCTCCTCACTTGCCTACTAGCATCTAGTCTTATTGATCAGTCTGTCCTCCATATACCTCAATTTAAGCTCTAGGTTCTATCTGGCACCAGCAGGAATAGCAAGGAGGGTCACCTTAAAAACTTCTGTGCCACCAAAGATTGAAATTCCATAGTGAGTGCTCTTTAAATAGTTACTGACACGAAAACACTATAGAAGAATCTGCATCTCCTGGGATTCTTTTACCTTGTGAAACATAGCTGATGAATGCATTGCTTGACTGGCCGGTGCACAGAGTAGAGTCTCGTGCAAGCAAATTTTTCATCCCGGCAATCTGAAGAAGTCCAACATAGAAAACAGAGGCATAAACAAAGGATTCAAGAGATGGAAGAAGATAGATAGAATGGGGAAAAAAATATAAGTATTCTCTACACAGGATCTTTGTAAGTTGGAGAATGCCCTCCTCGTTCACAAAAGCAGAACAGGAGGAAATTGGCTAAAATAAAATTTAGGTGCTTTCCTACTTGGAAGCAGAAGTAGGTAAAATAATCTCTAAAGAGTTCTTCTAGGAAAGTCTTTCTAGGTTTATCCAGGTGGCAGTATGAAATACAAAATTGAAATGCTGCTGCTTACCCCATTCTATAGAATAAGAATTCTTAAGTGGGTCATAGTTTCCGTTTCAGTAGTTTCCAATTTTAGATGCACATCAGAATCATCAGTACAATAGAGAATGCAACTTTGGCCATGACAACTAGAGTAATATTGAGTCCTTGCAGTCACTTCCTGACTCACTAACCATCACAGAAAGTCCATAGGTAGTTTAAGAAGAGGACTGTTACCAGACTGTCCAACAGTGCTTCCATATTTTCTCCCATGAGTTTGAGGATAGGAGCTCATAAAAAAAAGGAGGGTACTAAAAATATTCTTTAACAGAGAATTGGAAGCTGGGCAGCCCAGGTGGCTCAGCGGTTTAGTGCTGCCTTCAGCCCAGGGTGTGATCCTGGAGACCCAGGATCGAGTCCCACGTTGGGCTCCCCGCATGGAGCTTGCTTCTCCCTCTACCTGTGTCTCTGCCTCTCTCTGTATGTCTCTCATGAATAAATAAATAAAATCTTAAAAAAAAATAATTGGAAGCAAGCTGGAAGGTATACCAAGTACCCTCCAAAGAATAAGAAGGTATATGAATCCCCAAGAAGAAAGCTGAAGAAAAAGACATGCAAAAGATAATCATACCTGTTGTGGTATTTTTATCATTGGGTGAAGCTGGAAGGCAGAAATTTCATTGAGTTATTACTAGTTCTAGAATTCATTACTTCTGTAACTGTCATGTTGCCTCACTTGGGACCCATACGGGGCAACCATAAATAAAAAACAAGTGAGTTGGTAATGCTTTTAGCAACATCTAAAAACCCATAATGGGCTGTTTTGACCCACAAAATTGTAGAGATTTATAAGTTAGAATGGGAAATTTGATATTGCCTTTTTCTCCTTTCTCTTCTAGAATTGAAAACTGCACGGTTGCGTGTTGACAAAAAACAAATTTAGTAGGGACACAAGGCAAGTAGCCATATGCCCAGAAGGGCATCCTCCTACAGCTAAGGAGAGAAATGAATGTTAACCTGTAGAAGCTCATTTTCATAAAAGAAAATCACCTCTCTGTAAATCAGATACATCATCATGGGATCTTAGATAAAAGTTAATTAGCAAAGAATAGCAAAGGTCACAGCCATAGCCAAACCTAACCTATGGTCAAGCTAAATAGGGACCTAGTTTGTAGAATGAATAATAAGTTAAGGATCAAGATGAGTTTTGGGAATACACTAACCATGGGAGTTATGTCATAATGCCATTGGAAGAGTTGCTGATAGGATACTATACAAAGTGTAGTAGGTGATCTCATCTATCCCCTGGTTTCAATTGCAGGCTTACATGCTGAGAAGTCTCAAACTTCCAGCCCCAATCTCTTCTAAGCTCCAGACCTATGAAGCCACCTGCCATTTTATGGAAGAGTTTGTGGATTTTTCAGAGATCCTTCAAATCCAACGTATCTTAAACTGTCTGATCTTTCCCTTCACCAATTAAAACCATTCTTCGGTGAATGGTACCACCATGTACCCAACAGAACACTAGATATCATCTCAACAGTCCTCTCACACAACTCACACTTAATTCTCTCTATCTCTACCTTAGTTCAGGCCACCATCTTTTACTGGAACTAGTGCAATAGCATTTTGGCTGAATTTCCAGTTCAAAAATCTGATGGGAATCTTTCTTTGTCTAAACTAGTCTCTGATGCTTTTTTATTTTCATCCTAAGCCTTTGGGCACAGTGTTTTCTTTACCCAGAAGCTCTTCTGCCTGTTTACTCAATTCACTGTTTTTTGTCTTTCAAGAAGCAACTTAGTCAATGTCCCCTCCACAGAAGCCTGTTCTGACCCCCAGCCCTGAATATTCTCAAGGACTCTTTCTAGAGCTTCCACAGCTTCTTTTGCTTATCCCGATCATGGCATTTTGTGAAACTGAATAAAGTTATGTTTCTTTACCTTGTGTATTACACAACAAATATCTAGTAAAATAAATCGGCTTCATATTCCTGGCATTTAATAGTAGGTTTTCAGTAACTATTTCTTCAAAATCATCTAGTTTTTGTCTCCTTTTCTCACATCCTACCACTGTTTCTTGTAGATTTTGCCTTAATCATTTAATAAACCTCGTTTCTTCAATGTGCCAAAGCTCTATTTTGTGTTGACATCTTTGAACATACTGTTCCCTCTTTGACTGCCTGGCCGCCTCCAATACTTCTTTCAAGAATTGATTTAACCATTTCTTCTAGAAAGTTCCCTTTATCTTCCCAAATATTGATCTGTTTATATATTTGTCTTGCCTTTACCCATCCGGTCTTGGGATCTTTGAGGGAAAGATCACATGTTGGTATTTTGTATATCAAACACCCAGCACAGTCTCTGCTTGTTAAGGAATCAAAAATGTCATTAATTTAAATTGAACTATTGGAAGAATGTGCTACATAAACTGTAGTCCTATCTAGTTAGGATCCTTCACCAGCTGTAACTGCCTTCCATAATGGGTTCTGGGGAAAGCCCAGAACGGCCCCAGTGGCCCTGGGATCCCACATCTGAACTCACCCAGGTCATCTGTGGAAGGCTCGATATCGGCCAGAACTGAAAAGGCACAAAACAGCAGGTGTGAGGAGGGCTTTGAGTTGGCAAGGGAGAAGGCAGAGGATAAAAAGGGAGAATGGAAGGGTGCCTGGGTGGCTCAGTTGGTTAAGCGTCTGACTCTTGGTTTTGGCTCAGGTCCTGATCTCAAGATCTTAAGAGAAATCCCAGCATGGGGCTTTGCACTGGGCCTGAGCATGGAGTCTGCCTAGGATTCTCTCTCTGCTCTTCCCTGCCCCCACCCAAAAAAATGATTTAGAAAATGGGAGGATGGAGGTATCAGGCAAAGTCAAGGCTATGGCTGGATTTGTGTATTACATCCAAGGAAATAGAGTTAATTGAAGAAATTATGAAATTTTTTTGGTACTATTTGGCCTACTGACATTATACTTTATTATGCATGCCTTATTTTAGTTATGCATCCACTTTGTTTCATCTATTTAGAGGACTGGGGGACCCTGTTTCCTTTTATCCCACTGTCACTGAACAAAACACCCCCAATCCCTCTATCCCTTTCTCAGAGATAAAAGCACAGGATTAATTAAAAGCTGGAATGAATATTGTGAATATCACCAAGAATCATGCCATTGTAAAAGAACGGTAATAAAATTTACCTGTTTCGTCTGTAGAGGGCTCATTCACCAGATCTGCAAAGATACAACATAGGTAATAAAAAAACATAGGCAGGAAAAGTTGTAAAGGGAAGCAGGATAAAGGGATGATCTAAAAGGAGGCAAGAAAGATTGAAGTGAAAGGATGTACTTTAAGGGACTTCCACAGAAGGAAATAGGAGAGAAAAGGCTGGGCACATTCACAGCATCAGAGGCATCTATGACAGATACTAGGGTCTGCATGAGCTCAGAGCGCCCACTAATTTCTGTTCTACTCCTTGTTTATCTTTGTTGGACATCACCCTCAATCCTTCTATTCCCGGTACAAAAGCACAGAAATAAAAAGGGTAGCTTACTTGGATCCTCTGTAAATGTTTCTGGTGTCACTGGAGTCACATCATCTGAATGAAAAAACAAATCAGAAAACATTTTATTATTTTTTTAACGATTTGATTTGTTCATTTGAGAGAAGGGGAGAGAGAAAAGATAAGCAGGGAGAGAGAGAACAGACTCCCTACTGAGCAGGGAGTCCAACATGGGGCTGAAATATAGGACCTTGGGCTCAGGACCTGAGCCAAAGGCATATGCTTAACCGACTGAGCCACCCAGGCACCCCAGGAAAACATTTTTTTACATTTAGTGCCTCCCATTCTTGCACTCCCAGTAAGTGGCTAGCACAGCTGCCAGCCCACAGCAAGTATCCCACAACCCAAACAAATATCGATTTCCCACTTCCATGAATATACCTATGCGGTCCTAGCCTAGAATGTCCTTTTCCCTTTGTCTCTCACATGCCCATCAGATAATCCTCCACAGGCATCCACTTTCCTAGTCAGACTTTGGTTTAGGAAGAGAAGAATAACATATTTAATTGTCCTACAAAATAATAATGTATGTCGCTAATTTGAGTTTACTATGTGGCAGGCACTATTTAAATCTGTACAGATGATAAAATTGAGCACCGGCTAAGTAAATAATTTACCCAGGGTCATAGAGCTGTGATAAGTACAGTGGATTGATGACCTCTTTGTAATACTTATTTTAAGTGAAAATTGTTTTTCCCAAAGACCCTGATTTTGATAATTACAATTTTGAAATAATTGGATATCACTTTGCCTATATACTTACATACAAGCATATTCACCAAAAATGATGTTGATTATTTTTTTTTAAGATAAAAAAAAATTTATTCATGAGAGACACAGACACAGAGACTGGCAGAGAGAGAAGCAGGATCCCTGTGGGGATCCCGATGTGGGACCTGATCCCAGGACCCTGGGATCACTACCAGAGCTGAAGGCAGATAGATGCTCAACCACTGAGCCACACAGGTGCCTGATGTTGATTATTTTCTGGTGCTTAGTGAGAAGTGAGGTGAGGAGGAGGGAGGGGATACTTGTAGAGAATACCTTGCAGTTCATTGGAAAATAAAGGCAGGAGGAGAAAAAAAAAAAGGTTCAGGTCTTAAGGTAGAATCTATTATGATACACTAGAAAAATGTATCTGAAACTATAAATAATAGCACTACCTGAAACAAATTGTCTCAACCTTAAGAAGCAAAATGATAGGGCAGCCCTGCTGGCCTAGTGGTTTAGTGCCGCCTACAGCCTGGGGTGTGATCCTGGAGACCTGGGTTCAAGTCCTGCATCAGGCTTCCTGCATGGGGCCTGCTTCTCCCTCTGCCTGTGTCTCCGCCTCTCTCTCTCTCTGAATGAATAAATAAATACATAAATAAATCTTTAAAAAAAAAAAAGCAAAATGACAAAGCAGTGTTCACATCTAAATATTTAATAAGTATTCCATCTTCAATTATCCTTTATTGCACACAACTTATCATCATAATCTAGTTTGCCCACCAGGGGTCAGCAAATTCTTTCTGCTTTTGACTTTTTTTCTTAAACTGGTGTCTAAATGCCATGTTTAGTCTGGAGAGAATAGCATTTTTAGAAAGCACGCCAGAGCTATTGATCATTGTGGCAGAAGCAAAACACAAATAAAACATTGTGAAGCAATTTCCCTGGCTTACTACTTACATCATCCTCTTTTTTAAAAATTCAGGTAGAAGGGGGTCCCTGGGTGGCTAGGCGGTTTAGTGCCTGCCTTCGGCCCAGGGTCTGCTCCTGGAGTCCCAGGATCAAGTCCCACATCAGGCTCCTTGCATGGACCCTGCTTCTCCCTCTGCCTGTGTCTCTGCCTCTCTCTCTCTGTGTCTCTCATGAATAAATAAATAAAATCTAAAAAAAAATTCAGGTAGAAAGTCATGAGATTTGACCAAAGAGCCTTTTTATATTTAACACTCAGCATTAGTTTTCATATTTCAAAACAAATTTTGGTAAAAGAAATCCAAGTCTGTTCTAATCCCCCAGGACATATAAAAAAAACCCCATTAACCCTAGTCATTCTGAAAACCATAAGAGGGGAGTGGAGCCTCTCAGGGTGTAGCCTGGTCCCACCAGTTCCCTTCCTCTCTAGCTACATTCCAGGCGGGCCACTCACAGAAATGGAAGTGAACCAGTGGGAGAGCAGAGGGATTAAGAGTGATTCCTTGCTGTCACCTCAGAATTTCTGAATAAAGTACTCTATTTCGGTATATTCCTCAGATTACCTACCTTTTCCATGAGCTACCACTGTGTAAATCCTTATCTAGAATTCATGAATGTTCTCTGAAAAGAAATCTTAAGCAGACATTTCAGAAATCATATATTCCTGCTAGGAAAGCATCACAAATATGTAGACAAGGACCTGACCTTAACCAGCCCAGAGAAATGAATTCAGAATTTTTTTGCTAATGCTGAATGCTGATATAGGTTCAGAAACTTAGGGATTTGGATCCCTTTACCCACAGCAGGAAAAAAAAAAGAGTTTTTTCTATATTTTCTGTACCAGGATACAAAGAAAGAAATGATATTGTGTCCCAATGCACACATAGAAAATTGAAGCAAGTATAATAAGGTAATCTTTTACTCTTGGAATGTACTAGTAATGTACTCCATTTTTATTTTAGTGTATACTAATTCATTAAAAATACCCATTGTGATCTGCTAATTTGATTTTATGGCCCTTTAATGGCTTATATACTGCTCTCAAGGGTCGGGAAAAGTAGGAGATAAGTTGTAATTATATTGAATGTCTGGAGGCAGAGTGGAGATGTTTATTGGAGTTTCTGTCATTGAACCGAAGGAAGCCAAAACATTTGGGTTTGGTCCATTAGTGCCAGAATTTCACTGTAGCACTGAGATGACTTCTTTTTCTGCCTGCATGTTAGCTTCTCCATTGTTATATGGAGAAGAAAATGCTGTTAGGATTAGTGGCGCTTTCTGAGTGAGATAAGAGCTGTATAGGAGAGTGGGAAAAACAGATGGGCATAGTGGACGTTTTCGGCAAGGTATTTCAGTTTTAAAAGAGGTAAAGTTTTATGAACTGGATAATAGGATTGTGGAAACTGGTGAATTAGAGCCTATTTTCCACACATTGGCACTGTGTCCCTCTGTTATATTATACATTCTTTAACTCTGAACATTCATCTATACTATCCTGATAATCCCAGCAGATAGGGTGCCTGGCTATCTTGTCAGAAGAGCGTACGACTCTTGATTCACAGGGTCTTGAGTTCAAGCCTCACACTGGGGGTAGAGATTACTTAAATATTTTTTGAAAACACAGAAGAGCCCAGATCCAAGAATTTACCTACCTCCTCGTTGACCACTGACTCCTAGTGGTGTCCACTCTGTACCAAAGGACAGAGAAAAGGGTTAAATGACTCCAGCTCCCCACCCCATATGGTTTTTATTAGATGAACCAGAAAATGATGAGAAACTGATTGTACTCGATTTTTCTGCACTGTATTTCTATATGGTTCAATACAACATCACTCAGACCATTAATGACATGGAAGTACTCAAGAAAAATAAGTTCCTGAGAAGAAAGCCATGCTTTGCCAAGCCCTGACTCCAGACGCCCTGTTACCCCCTTTCCTAGCAGAAGGAGTGGGATCTTGTTCAGCACCCGGGGCCAGCAGCCTCTCTACTGTGTCCTGTAGTATCCCCACAGCCATCTTATTAGCTACACTACTGAACAAAGCACAAAATGATTTTCTTACAGTGTGTATCTAGCAAAATGAGAAAATAAAGCAGGATTTCTCTGCGGTCCGAAAATTCACTTTCTGTGGCCAATCTCCTAGCTCCATTCTGTGAAACCTGTGATGGCTTTTCTTAGCTTACAGCCTGGCACATGTTTTCATGTGTGCCTGTGAATACGTTTGTGTATATGCTGGAGCTAGTATGGGTTAGGTGGGAGCATATATTCCTCCACTGTGTCCCTTCATGTATTGAATTTGGCCCAGTTTATTAGTTATCTCCATATCATGCCATTGCGTATCAGCTTCTTGCTCCTCTGTTTACTTGTATCTTTCATTGTGTGTGACCCTCTTTTGGTTAATAGGCCTTCGTGTGGATCTTCTACTCAGAACTCAGGATATGTCCTCCCAAGTCTGAGGTCATCTCTGATTTCATCTCAGCCCCTGCTTCTCATAACCAAATCTGTCCTTTGCTTTAATGGCGATTCTAGAACTCAGTAGCAAGCACCTCTGCTGCCAGTCTCCTTCACCATCCCTCTATCCTGCCCTCTAACACACACATCCACACACACCGAGGAGCTGGCATTGCAGGGAGAAAAGATTCAAGGTAGGGACTCACCAGAGGGGATGATGAGCACGGTGAGATACAGCAGCACCTTGGGTCCCGTGAGCAACATGTCTAGTGGGAGTGTTGGGAGAGTAGAGGCTGTAATGCTCGCAGACACATCAGCATTGAGGTCCAGGCAAGGGTACCTGTAGGGCCCCTGTCTCTTTGTCTGCCCAGGGCTTTCCCTGGTCCCCCCTCTGACTCCAGGCCTTTCTCTCCTTTCTTTCACTGAACATTTATTTTCCTTCAAATTATCTTCTTTGCCCACTCACCGTTATTCTCATTCTCACTCCTTTTTTCTGCCAAGTCAGAGGAAACTTTATATTCTAACTGGTATCTTTGCTCGTGTCCTGTGGCCGCTTTCAACCCCCAGTGTCTTATAGTCCTTTTCAATATCTGTGGCTTCTTAATATCATCTGCTTACCTCAGTGTCTTGTCTCTTGAATTCCATGGATAGCTGGGATATTCGCTCAATTCTCAGTCATTGTCATTCCCTATTGCCCCACTCTGGCCTTTCAGTTTAACACACACACACACACACACACACACACACACACACACACACACCCAACCCACCCAACACACCCTCTGTCTGTTTAGGGTTTTATACAATCAAACAACTCACTGTGTATTTCTCCTCTGCTCTTTTCACCGAGTCCGTTGGCTGCCGAATGCGGCTCTCTCCTTCTCACGCTGTTTCTACTTTGGCTGGAGAATAAGATGAACAGAGCCACTCCCTGGGAAGGACTTCAAATTTGGCCTACTCTGAAACAATGAGATGAGGGAGAGCGAGGGAGAGAGAGAGAGAGAGCGCACGCAAGACAGAGAGAGAGAGAGAGAGCGCACCAGGCTAGAGGAGTGTGATGAGACTGGAATGAGAAGGGGGCTGGGGATTTGCACTCACTCACACCCTCATTCCAAAGGTTATGACCACACCAGTGAGTGATACTGCTGCTCCCTAGGAGGCCTGGCTCCCACTCACAAATGCCTTTCTTCCATGAGCCTCTTTTCCAAACTCTTGCAACCCAGCCCCTGGCCTACCTCTGCTGTGGGTTCCTTCTTACCTAAATAGTTCCATTTCATGCTTGGACAGCCTGGCCCTTCTTTGGCCATCTTCCATGTTTGCAACCTCCTCCTTTCTCACTTTCTTTTTCTTTTCTTTTTTTTTTTCTCACTTTATTTTTCGACATTCATTTCTTCAACTCTAACATTTCTTTCTTTCTTTCTTTCTTTCTTTCTTTCTTTCTTTCTTTCTTTCTTTCTTTCTTTTCTTCTTTCTGCATCCTTCTTGACCCACACACTCAAGAATGTGTTTTTTTCCCCCTCTCAGGGAATTCTATTCATTCCATTTTCAAACACACACAGATACCACCTGAGTTTTGTCCAAGGGGAGGGTTGGCTGTTGTTAGGGTTAGGAAAAGCTGAAAAATACAGTACCCTTTGAATCCTTTTGAAATGTGGAGGAGCTCTATGAGAAGACACGTTAGCCTTCTTTTTGTCTTTTGGCTTTAAGTTTATGCTCAGAATCTTGGTTGCTGGCATCTTGAGGATAAAATGCCATTGGAAGCCCAAAGAACATTGGGTGCCAAGTTCATTCCACTTGCCTTATTTTCCAACAGTACTTTTCTTCATATCATGGAATATGTAGATAACAGGTTCTCTGATCCAGAAGTTTTAAAGACTTTGTATTTGCTCTTATTCACAGAAACATAGTGGCTGGACTGGTAAAAATACCTCCACTTTGGAAGGAATAAATTAGAATTACAGAAAGTCCAATCTAAGGAATCAGTGATCATGTGTGCATTTAAAAGTGTATTGTTTCAAGTTGTCTCTTAGCTCCCTGAGTCTGCATCGTGTATCTCCCTGAGGAGAGTATAGGTAGAGAGAGCAGATCTTGTTAATATAGAATACAGACTAGACAAGGAAAAAGAGTTAGAGAAAGGAAGGAGGGAGGGAGGGAGAGGAAGGAAGGAAGGAAGGAAGGAAGGAAGGAAGGAAGGAAAGAAAGAAGGAAAGAAAGAAGGAAGGAAGGAAGGAAGCTGGTTAGTTGGGAGGAAGGGAGAACAATGGACATAATCAGAAATAAGGAAATAGCACCTTTGGCTCCTCCAAAGGAGTGATACATGTTCCATCTCTGAGATACATGGGTGCTGATCAGTCTCTAGAACAAATCTGAGTACCAAACCCAGCTCCTCCTCATCTGCCTGGACGAGAACTTGCTCTTCGCCCATCTGTTCTGCAGTGAGAATGTAGAGGCTGGAAAACAGATGTGATTCTAATCTGGTGAGAGTCAGGGAAAGAAAAGGCAGGGAGGTGGGGGTAGGGAAAGAAACAACAACAAAAAGCCAGATGCAATTCAGAGCTAAGGCAGGACATATAATAGAGAGCTTAGAGCAACAATCATGTTTTCCATGAAGCTCAGACAGATGGACAAACTGAACTCAGGCCAATCATTTGGCAGCGAGAGCAATGACCTCAACGTGCTGGCCCAGCTCGAGACCATAGCATAGGAAAGCCTCCCCAGGCAGTAGGAGGGGGTGCTCTCCTGGGGTCGCAGGAGGGAGTCTGAAGCTGGGGCAGTGAAAATGGAACAGAATGTTCAGAGTAAGGCAGAGGGAGAAGGCAGGGAGGGACCAGGGGCTTAGAAGGAAAGGAGAGGAAACCGGCAAGCACTGGGGAAAGCAAAAACTTCATCTATTCCTGCTGGGCTTATAGTCATTCAAGAATGTAGTGTGTTTTGAGGTAGTCTGATTAGTGTTTCTCCCTTGCAGCTATGGTGGCCCCTTTATCCTGGCATTGTTCCCCCATTTGTTTTCAGAGTTCAGGCTTGGATGCCCAGGTTTGGAGAACCTCAGATTAACTTTTCTCAAGGTGATTTGGTCAGCACCTGTTCTATGACGCCATCAGTTTATCACTGGAGTATGTGGAGTCACGATCAGCACAAATAGTCAAAAAATGAGCAACCATGAGGTGCCAAGGTGGCTAGTCAGTTGGGCAACTGCCTTGGGCTCAGGTCGTAGTCCTGGGGTCCTGAGACTGAGCCCTGCCTCGGGCTCTCTGCTTGGCAGGGAGCTTGCTTCTCCCTCTCTCTCTGCTGCTCCCCTTGCTCATGTGCACACACTCTCTTTCAAATAAAAAAAAACTTTTAAAACAAGAAGAAAGAAAGAAAGAAAGAAAGAGAGAGAGAGAGAAAAGAAAAGAAAGAAAAGAAGAAAAGAAAGAAAAGAAAAGAAAAGGAAAGGAAAGAAAAGAAAAGAAATGAACAGCCACCATCCAGAGCTGTGAGAGTATAATTTTCAGTTCTCACTGATCCTGGGGAAGAACTCCCAGGGCAGCAGCAGTCTATGCTCCCCTCAACATAGACTGATCCGGGAAGCCTAGGTGGCTCAGCAGTTTAGCACCACCTTCAGCCTGGGACGTGATCTTGGAGACCTGGGATTGAGTCCTGAGTCAGGCTCCCTGCATGGAGCCTGTGTCTCTGCCCCCTCCCCCTCTGTGTGTGTGTGTCTGTGTGTGTGTGTGTGTTTCATGAATAAATAAATAAAATCTTTTAAAAAGAAACAAACAAACAAAAAAAAAACATAGACTGATCTCCTGTAGGTAGAGAGAACATTCTCCAGCAACAGGAAAGTCCCCCATGGAACTGTCTGGAACCATCTGGCAGGTGCAGAAGCCATTTAAAGCAGGCAAGGTAATGTTTGAATTACCTAGGAATTTTTTCCTTTTCCAAAAGGGTCTCCAGTCAATGGAAGTTGGTTAAAGTGCAAAGAAACAGAAGGGAGGCAGACAAGAGAGCTCAGCAAGCTGGCTCTATTCATCTGTTTATTGGCCTGTAAAGAATACACCCATTAGCTGAAGGCCTCTGGGCAAATGTACAGAAACGTTATTACTACAGTCCAATCTAGCTAAATTAAATCCAGGGCCTAAATGCAAAAAAAAAAAAAAAAAAAAAAAAACCATAAAAGGAAGGCAAGAAGGGGGGAGGATTATACGAGGTGGGGAAGGAGAAAACACAGAAAGCCTGTGTGTGTAGAGGAATGAAGCAATAAACTAGTAATAGCCAAACTTAAAAGATGGACTCAGTGTAGGAGTTAGAAGCTAGCAAACATATGTCATCAGACAACTGCCCATTTCTTAGTCGCCCAGACGTGCTGTAACACACTCCATCCCTCTGTGCTTTGCACTGTGTGTTCCTTTCTGACCTAATTCCAATTCCAGTAAATAAATGCTCATATATACATCGAATCCCAGGTTAGATGCTATGCTATCTCTTCCCAGAAACCTGTCCTAGTATCCTCTGCTTCTGGAGAGTTTTGTTTGGGTTTTTTTTTTTTTTTTTTTTTTTTTAAAAAAGATTTTATTTATTTATTCATAGAGACAGAGAGAGAGAGGCAGAGACACAGGCAGAGGGAGAAGCAGGCATCATACAGCGAGCCTGATGTGGGACTCGATCCAGGGTCCCCAGGACCACGCCCCGGGCCGCAGGCGGCGCTAAACCGCTGCGCCACCAGGGCTGCCCATTGTTTGGGTTTTTAAAGTAAGCTCTGCACCCAATGTGGAGCTTGAACTCACCACCCTGAGATCCAGTCCCATGCTCTACTGACTGAGCCAGCCAGGTGCCCCCTGCTTCGAAAGAGCTTATCAGGAACAGCCTGGGTGGCTCAGTGGTTTAGCACTACCTTCGGCCCAGGGTGTGATCCTGGAGACCCCGGATCCAGTCCCACATTGGGCTCCCTGCATGGGGCCTGCTTCTCCCTCTGCCTGTGTCTCTGCTTCCCTCTCTCTGTGTGTTTCTCATGAATGAATAAATAAAATCTTTATAAAAAATAATAATAAAAATAAAGAGCGTATCATTTTCTCGATTGAGCTACCTTTTTATTTATTTTTATGATTATGTCCTCAATGATGGGGAAACACAGGGCTAGCTGAGGACAAGGCATGAGCCCAGGACAGCACATTGACAAGTCCTTGAACAGTCAGAGGGACATTCCTCTACGAACTCAACTGCCTCGATACATTGCTAAGGGCAATAGGCAATCTTAGCCTTCCCCCCAGGATCCTGTAAGTCTACATTAATGGATAAAAATTCCTTTAGAAATTCCCTTTTTCGGGCAGCCCGGGTGGCTCAGCGGTTTAGCGCCATCTTCAGCCCAGAGCCTGATCCCAGGATGGAGTCCCACATCAGGCTTCCTGCATGGAGCCTGCTTCTCCCTCTGACTATGTCTCTGCCCCCCTCTCTCTCCCTCTCTCTCTCTCTCTCTGTGTGTGTGTGTGTGTGTGTGTGTGTGTGTGTCTCATGAATAAATAAATAAAAAATCTTAAAAAAAAAAAAAAGAAGTTCCCTTTTTCTCTACTCCCAAGATACATGTTGGTAATCATCCCTCAAGCATATGACCTATGGGTATACATCTGAAGGGTCTCATGACTAAGGTTTTATTAGACGGTAATGAGGGACCTTTTCCCAACAATAGGTAGCCCTCAAGGTCCTGGAAACCTGGCTTCCAAAATCCCTTAGAGAGTATGCTATCCTCAAACCCCTCCCAAGTCCCAGGTATATAATCAGCCACTCCTCTCAGGCCCTGGGCAGCAGCTCTTCCTGTCCATGGGTCCTATCCTTGTGCTTTAATAAAACCACTAGTCTGCACCAAAGATGTCTCAAGAATTCTTTCTTGGTCGTCGGCTCTGGACCTCACCTATATTCCAAAACTTCATCATTCAACTCTATTACATTCTTTCATTTGCATGTCTGCATTCCTGATTAGACAGAGTTCTGACATTGCAGAGGCAAGCTCTTAACTCATCTCTGGCTGATATTAA